GGGGGGGGCTCGGACTGCTTGCTTGCTTGCTTGTTTGGTTTGGTTGGTGGGTTGGGTTGGGTCGCGTGCTGTGGGGTTATGACCGGCTTGGCTTGGGAGTGAGCACGCCTTGTTAGCTGTTGTGCCAGGCCGGTGGTGGTTGGTGGTTGGACAGACGCTGGACAGATGCTGGCGCCCGGCCCCCCTCTCCCGTTTTTTGTCAAAGTGACTAACGTCCTCCAGCCTGCCCAACACGCGTCCACATCCACATCCAACCCCCCCACCAGCAGCACCTCCCTCCCCCACCCCCACCCCACCACCAACCCCCCCGAAACAGACCCCGACCCCCTCCTCCGTCTCCTCAGCAACAAACACCTCCTAGCCCTGCTCCTCCTCTCCCAACCCTCCATGTCCATAATCCGTTCCCACGGTGCCTTGTTCGAGGGGGAAGGGGGAGGAGGTACGCGAGGGTTGTGGCTGGGTGGGTGAGGGCTGTGAGGGAGGGGTTGGGGGAGCTTGAGGGGGGAGGGGGAGCGGGGGCGGGAGGCGTAGTGAGAGGGACTGGGGGAGCGGGGGGAGGCACTGGAGGGGCGGGGGGGACTGGGGGGACTGGGGGAGGGGGGGAGGAACTCAAGTTTATGAGAATTAGGATGAGGAGACATGAGTTGCTTATCACTCCTGGTACGTCATTTCCTTCCTTCCTTGCCGGCTTGCGGCTTGCTCCCTTGTTTGCTGCTCGCTGCTTTGAGGCATAGGCTAACCCGGGGTAGACGATAAGTACGTCTTGGTCGTTTTACAAGACCCGACGAGTTAGCGAGCGAGCGAGCGGGGGGGTGAGAGCGGGAGACGGAGAGGGCGGGCGGGCGAGGAAACGAGCGCAGGTGGGATGGGAGAAAGTGGAGTGCGTGAGAGGGGTGGGAGTGTCAGTGGCTAGACAGCTAGAGGCTTACAGGGCTAGACCAGTACAGAGGTACAGAGGTACAGAGCAGGCGTGCCCCGGATATTATACTCGTGAGGAATCCCAATCCTAATCCCAATCCCAATACCTATACCTATACTGTACCGTTCGGAGTGTGCACGCGGGCAGGCTAGTCCAGTCCGTCTGTCTTCCTCGAGCGCTCTGCGAACGCTTGGCACGACACATATAGACGTTTGGGCTCCTCATGAAATGCGATGAGCTTGGGTCTGTGAGTGCTATTCTGGTGGGGAGGACGTTTGGCCTGTTCGGGCCGTTCGTGCTGTTTGGACTGTTTGGGCTGGTTGATTATATTTCAAACTCAGGCATGCATAGGTCTGGGCGTCGACCTCGTGCAAGACTTTGCACCAGCTTTAGGTAGCAGCTAGGCCTCTCACAGCGGTACGGTACGGTCCTCCAGTCCCAGTCAGGAGAGGACGAAACAACATGTCCACTGTACTGTCCACTGTCCAGTATGTACATATACATGTTTATGTACAAGGTTTATGTACAAGGTTTGGAAAGCTCGAAGGCGTACGTGGGCGATCCCCGGTCCAAATCTCCAGTACCCAGTACCCAGAACTACCCGGGCTCTTGCCAGTGCGCACGGGCATAGAATGCCTCCACGTTCGTCCTAACTCGTGCGCCGTACGCCGTGCAGCTGCAGCCGCAGCTGTTGTCGGAGTTGACAGTGCTGCAGCTACATGTCCTCGCTTCTCGCTTCTCGTGCTGGGCGAGTCTGGCAGGCTGGGGTACTGGAGGTCAACCGCCCAAATGAGGGCTCGAATTTAGCTCGGGAAAGGGGTATATCGATGTCGATATCGGTATATTTGGTTCACTCTGAGCAGGATGTTACGTGCGCACGGTGGGTCGGGGTCTTACATGAAAACGGAAGTTGGGTTCACGTGACCCAAGCCCAAGGTTTTCCCTAGCGTCAAAACCCAGAAGTGCCCAGAACGTCAAATGCGCAACCCGGGAACTTCAAGTTGCTGCAGTCTTCTGTGGTGCCTTTTTCCAAAACGAATTTGGCTCTTTCTTCTCCTTTGGTGTGTTCCCTGTACCGGAACCTAACAATTGATCACGTGCGTCAGAAGGAACGGGTTTAGGGCCGGCTTCATTCGGTGCTCGTGAGGTGGGGCATGAGGTTGCTGGCCAGCGTCGCCATTGATGTGTGGATCACAGTGGATCCAAATACACGCGGCTTCTGGATCTCTCCTACGAAGTTTCCAAGATGCTTGGAGAAGCAGTGAGATGAACGAGACGAGGAAAGATGTCGATTCATTAGACTAGGCAATGCCGTCAATGCTGAAGAGAAGACATTTCACCGCCACTAGATTGATTTGATATGATGGCGTCTGTTGAACCCTGACAGTGGTCCCTGAGTCTCTGCCAACCGCCCTCCTCCGGCATTCGTCCTTCCTCCTCGAACTACCCTCCATTTCCCCAGGGTCTCTTCTTCCGTACCTGCCATGTCCATGTCCGATCATCCCCCATTAGCACCACAGGAAGGCTCGGGTGTCGAGCCTGCACAATATGCGCAAAACTTGGAACCGCATGTCTTTACCGAACAAGAGCTGGGGGAATACCGCGAGCAAGACCGATTTCTCCCCGTATGTACCTGTCTTACAGTGCGCCCCGATAATCCCTCATCTTGTTACACTGTTAGATTGCCAACGTCGCCCGAATAATGAAGTCTTCCCTTCCGCCCAATGCCAAAATCGCTAAAGACGCCAAGGAGACCGTCCAGGAATGCGTCTCCGAGTTCATCAGCTTCATCACCTCCGAAGCGGCGGAGAAGTGCCATCTTGAGAAACGCAAGACGGTTGTGGGGGAGGATATTATATATGCGCTGTATTCTCTCGGGTTTGAGAACTATGCAGAGGTGTTGAAGGTCCTCCTAGCCCGGATGAGACATGTACGTCGCCTCAGTCGGTTCGACGCTCGGGAGGGATGCTGACCCTACATAGGCCCATTCATTAGCCCAGGCACACAAGAAATCTGCATCTGGAGAATTTTCCCCTTCAGATCCGAGCGAACTTGCTCTCCGTGCACACGGTTCTGGGTCTGACGAGCATGACGATGACCTGGACGATCATGATGAGCATGATGAGGATCACGATGAACACGAAGGCGATGATGGGGAACCTGTGGATGATACTGAAGGAGGCGCGGAAGACGAGCTGGAGCTGGAAGAACTTGAGGAACGGTTCAAAGAGGTTGTCGAGAAGGGCCAGTACGCTGAGAGTTAGTGGGTCTTCCTGCGGGGCGCTTGTCACACAGGTGCTGATGCACGCGCAGATGAGGAGGACGTTGGCTAGGCTGCCCAACAGGGCTGTAATCTGTATTTCTAGGATCTCACCTCATCCACTGGACACTTGATTGTATCGGATTCAGATTGTTTGTACGCTCTACCGACCCAGTGCGATTCTGGTATCTATGGCAACATTTCTTGGGAACACAGAGTGGCTTTTGTGAGTATGGAATACAGGAACAATCAACACCATGGCAAGTCATCCTCAACCAGCCCATTGGCGGAAACACATCCTCACTCTCACCGGCGACGGTAAGTCCTACCGGCGGGCAGCGGCTTGTTGCTCTCCGGACATCCATCCTGGTGATACAAAACCCCACTCCTTCCATCCCATATCGCATTGCAGGAGACGCATCCCGTCGTTCCATGTTTGAGCAAGCCCTCACCGGAGTATGGCGCCACCCAGCCAGGTGAACCACGAGTGTACCAAGCAGGAGGAAGAGTCGTCGTCGGCTGCGGTTTGATCGGGATGGAACTGGTTCTGAACGCTCCGACGCCTTCCAACAGCGAAGATGCGACATACGAAGTCGACATGGCAGGATAATCCTCCCTCCCAGATTGACGCGAGCGCTGCGAAGGAGGAGGAAGGCGCTCAGCTTGTCCGGCTAAAGCAGCGGCGTCGGCACCAACTTGACTAGACATGAAACTGCGAGACTGGAGCAGACGAAGACCTTCGGGAGTTTGAGCGAGGCGATAGCGTTCACGCGCCCAGTCATCCAACGTTCCCTGGAACCGCATATTGTCAGTGTCGAGAGGCGGTCCGCTTGGAGGGAGGGCAGTTTGACTGATCCGTGACTGGATCACTCGTGGGATCACCGGGGGGATTGCTTCATCCTCTGAGACACGGGATTCTTCAACATCGGACTCGCCGGAGTGTTCTTGCTCGAGTGGATTCTGTGGCTGAACAGTGGAAGCAGTAGGTGACGTCCCCATACCTGCTGTGTTGTTCATGCTGACGGACGTCTTGTTGCTTGTAGGAGTCGACATGGCGGGAAGTGGTCAAGATGTAAAACTGCCCTGCGGCGCGAATAAAAAGGACGGGTGTGACTCGTGATGATTGGTCTTTTCCCGGCAGAAGACCTCGGAAACCCCCTGAGTCTAAAGGCGGTGGAAAATTTGTGCGGCGGGTGGCCGCGACCCTCGCTGATATTTCTGCGGAGACGCGAGTTCATGCCACTTTCGGCCTCTGATTGAACTGAATTGAACTGAACTGATGTTCTGATACGATATAGTACGCGTGTGGTCCGAGCGGCGGCGTTTCATACCAAATACACCGAGCAGTGCGTGTCAAGAAGAGGTGGGTGGGGAGATATCCTTGGTACGTTGTACACTTCAGCGAGTTCCCCGATATATCTCGCCCTCGGGAAGTACTTGTTGATCGGCATGTACACTCTGAGACATGGGTATCTGCCCTCTAAGACAGTCATTACGAGGTCGGTCGGTTTCCTTCCCGAACGGTCCAACTTTACGTGCCGGTGAACTATGTCCAATGACCCAATGCACAATGGCCACCATCCAGATGCACTATCTCTCCAAGCCCAGGGGGTTCTCGCCCTCCGTTTGATAAAAATATGACCAGTATACCAACACCCATGAATCGAGACGAATTCAGGTATTACCCGCGAAGCCCAGCAAGTACTGGTCATCGCCATCAATATCATTATCCCTAGTGAGTCTCCACGAGGAAAATGTTTAATTCACGTGATGCGCTTCAGTCTAGCTCAGAGTGGTGAACGGTGTTGGGTGAGCATGGTTCTCAACACTATTGAAGAAGCTGTTTGAAAAGCAGGTTCCACATCCAACCAGGATGCATGAAGCACCCTATTTGCTTTCTAGGGAATCCCATCGTTTCAGCTGTTCATAGACAGCGCTTGTTGACTCCCTGCTTTCCACTCAGATAATACCCTGCGTGTGCCCGTACGTTGAGAAAATATCAAGAAGGGAAATTGATCGAGAGAAGAAGGCAAAGATAACACACAGACACGAGTATTGATAAGAAATAAAACGCCTGTCTCGCTCGTTCTCATTAAACGGGGGTTACTAGAAAAGTAAACGGATTGAGAAAATGATGGAATCAATTCAAGGGGACCACACTGTGCATGGCGTAAATGTCGCCCATAACCGTCTGATCCAGGAGACAATTGTGACATAGTCCCGGAAGGACGGTATCTTTCTCGAAGGTGATGGAATGTCCGGTCATGGGCTGACAGAAGATTACCCTTGTTCAGTGGTATTCTGACTCGTAAGAAGACGAAAGGTGCATTCTCATCCGTGCTACTCGTTCGGAAAATCCCAATCGTATGTGGAGCTTGCACGGCCGAGTAGGCCTTCAAAGATAAGCCTCCGGAGCGTGAGCTGCGCCCGATCGGACATTCGGCCAGACCCTGAGTCTGAGTCAGGCATAGACATTCGTTTCATCGTGTTCATTTTGCGCGTGTCACTGTTCCGTGAGTACAGACATAAAAACTCCCAACGGTCATAGATAAGGAATGTTAGTCGATACCTATCCGTCTGTTCTATCTTTGCATTGGCCAGATAAATGGCTCAAAATTGGCTTAACGTCGGTCTTCAACCTACTGAGGCAGCTTTTTACAGAGGACGTCCGATCTCTCTAGATGACCCGGACATTTACGGACCCGTTCATCCCCGAGTAGAGGGAATGAATATTCGTGACTGTATTCAGGCTATAATTCAGGTCATATTTCGCACCAGCGGAGTGGTCAGCAGTCTCGCCGCCGCTTCCGATCTCAACAATGAGGTACCCATATTACATTACTTGAGACTTATGATTATGTACTGATGGTCTCTTCCAGGTGTACCTCGTCACCCTTCGCCGAACCAAAGATTCTCCCTTACCGCAGCAAGTTCAATTTCGTGTAGCAACAGAAAACAAAATACTTCTAGGCATTTCCATAGACTCAGAGGTACGATCTTGCTTTCATACCCGTCCCCGGTTTGATCCGACATTACAGGTTTCTACTTTGACGTTTTTGCGGGAGAAAACACTAGTACACGCTCCTAGGGTGTTTGCTTATTGTACAAACGGAAATCTGTTTGGCCTTTCGTTCCTGGTGGTGGAACATATTGTGAGTTTTTCTGTCTCTCGGTTCTTCCTCCTTGACATTCACCCCTCTACAGGTACTAGGCCAACGTCTTAGTGACGTGTATGAGTCCCTGAATCAGCGTAGCAGGTTACGTCTTGCACATGAGTGCGCTAGCATCCTTGCTGAGCTCTCGCTGCGTGAGTGGCCCAAAATCGGCTGTCTGAGGAGCGGCGTGAAAGCCCCCATAAATGGGGTCCGCTTCCCAACTCTCAGGGAACCACCTCGCTCAACTGGCATCTACGTGGGTCCTCTCGATAGCAATTTGACCGACGAGGACAAGGCAGAGCTCCCGGAAGACTTTCCGTCCGATAATGGACCGTTCTCACGGACTGAGTACTGGTTACAAGCACTCTGTACGGAACATGACGCCTTCCTTGCGTATCTGGTCGCCACGGATCGCTATGACCACAAGGAAGCAGAGCAAACAAGAATAGAGCTTCGCCTGATTCTGCAGCGGGCAAAGACTGTTCTTCAGAAGGATCATTATGCGGGCCACTTTAGCCTGTATCTGCAACTAAGACCAGAGTACGTAATCCTCTTTCCATGATTGAGAACATACTCACACGTCTCACAGCAATATACGGATATTTGATCGAGGCCCGCAGATGGGTCAAATAGCCGCGGTAACCAATGTGGAAGGCGCGTTCGTCGGTCCTATGTGGTATTCGGTGGTGTTCCCTAGATGGCTTAAAGGAGTGGACGGTGAGCAAGACCAATTTAGGAGGATCTTCGAAGACACGTACGAGAAGAAGACGACGACAACCAAAGGTTCTTTGAAAGCCTTGATAGCGGATCCTCGTTACCGTGAACTACGGCAAATAACGTACATTATCAAGAATCCCACTCCGGAGGCCTTGGAGAATTGCGTCACTTTGCTGGCTCGGCAAGGTTTGCTAACCTTGGCAACGACACCCGCACAACCTCCTGGTCAGTCAGCCTGTCAACTCTCGCATCTCAATACTCACATCATGCTACGCACCTTCAGCTCCTCCGCCCAAACAGGCTTCACAGCGATCTGGCGCAACAACTCCTGCAGGTCAACGCTCTGCTACACCCAGCCGGGCGCCGCCCCGTCCGTCTACTCCAAAGCTCACGTCTGAGGAAAGGGCCAAGGCTCTTGGCAGAAGCGGATATGCGACCGACGCTCCGAAGAAACCTAGGCGAGACGCTTGGCCACTCTTTGGGAAGAAGCAGCAGCAGCAGGAGATCTAGGAAACAGGACATAACTTACTCACACTTCTCTATTGCTGACGGCACTTTCGGCATTGCTCCAGTAGATAACTCATTTGATACCAGCACAGATTAGCAGCACTTCTGACGACACATTATAGATGAAGCAAAACCAGTGGAATTCTCGGATCTACAGCATGTACATGGAATATTCGGACCTCCTCGTGTTTTTAACGCCCCATCCGGTTCAGGATTTGCTTGATGCCAGGACCCCAGATGGCCACATTGTCGGAGGCTGTCCCGCTCGTCAATAGACGCACATGTACATTCATGGCAGAGTGGAAATCGCGGGCTTGCATTGCTAGGTGAGAAATATCGTAAGAACCTCGTAATGACCATGAGCACAGGAAAACAAACCTGCGATAAGCTGATGCAATTGCTGCACAACCGGTGAGGTCAAGCTCTCACAATTAAGCGCATCGAACAGGTTATTCAATCTACGCTCTGTGTCATCCACGAGGCGCTTTTGCTGGGGCTGTTGAATCCCATCAGCATGCCTCCTCCTGCGCTCCGAATAGGTGGTCAGCGCAGGGCCAGGGCTCACAGGGATGGTTGCCTTCAGTTGCGCAAGATCTTGCGAAAGGACTTGGAAGATGGGGTCCAGCGCGGATGGGATATGGGAGCGATCGCCTGGTGCTGGAGGAATGTATCAGTCTCATATCCTGGACCAACTTTCAGCGAAAAAAATGCATACGATATTTTGGTGCTTGGGCGGCAGCAGGCATTGGTGGCCCCCCTGCTGGCGTCCCGCTTCTGGAGAGCTGCGGTGGCTGACCCGATGGAGGCGACATTGCCTGGCTTGGAGGTGCAGGAGGATGAGCGCCTGGCGGGGGCCCATACGGCCCGCCTTGCACAGGTGGAGCGCCTGCAGGCACGCTCGGCCACTGCTGGCCAGGGGCGCCTGGAGGAGCAGCTACGCGCTGACCAGGCGGTCCAGGCATCGCGCCATTTGCAGGCCGACCAGGCGGGGGCCCTTGCATCCTTGGCTGACCAGGGGGTGGCATCCTCGGGGGACCTTGCTGTGGAGGAGAAAGTGCGCGCATTGGAGGTGCTCCTGGTGTGCCTTGTGCCAGCGGTGAACTGGTCCGTTGTGGTGGATAACCAGGCGCACCAGGGCCCCTTCCGGGAGGCGGTGGCTGGAAAGGTCTTCCAGCTACCCCTGGAGGGGGGCCGGGCGGGCCCCCACGTGGTGGAGGCCCTGGAAGCCGTGGACTGGCGGTGTTCCGGGGAGGAGGAAGTGCCTGTCCTCGCTGCGGCGGCGGCAGTCCACCTGGTTGGCCGGGTGGCAGCGTAGATCCTCGACTTGGAGGAGGAGGAAGACTCGCGGTCTGGTGCATTGGCTGTGCGTACGGCGACGTGAGTCCGGCCGAAACTGGAGAATTAGGGAAAGGCGCGGTGATTGGAGGGGGAACACTGGCGGGGGCAGCAGCAGAGGCAGCTCGCCGAGCAGACGCAACTGTTGGGGCATCGTTCCAGCCAGGTGTTGCCTCCCGCTTGATGAAGGATCCGCGGGGTGGGCCAGGCGTAATATCTGGAGGGGGTATCCCTGTTGCTTCATCGATAACAGGCGGCGGAGGTGGAACGATTGAAGAAGGCGCGGACGGCTGATATGCAGGCTGGCCGTACGGCGCGTTTGCATAGTTGTTACTGGGGTATTGCATGGGAGCGGAAGGCGGGTATGGTTGACTTTTGGGCGGCGGCATTGGCCCGCCGCTGGGCTGGTAGCCGGTAGCAGCCGGAGCGTAGGGATTCGCTGCGACGGGCCCTGCAGATGCACCGTTAGGGGCATAACCATATGGAGCATACGCTGAAGTTGCAGCAGGCTGTGCAGGGATGGCAGGAATGGCAGGGGCGGGCTGAACCGGAGCAGCGGAGAGACCCTTGGGGAAGTAGCCAACGTCCGCAGCAGCGACAGCTGCACGGCTGGCCTGTTGCTTGGCCCGAAGTGCGGCATTATCCTTGACTCCAGCAGCCTGGAGCAAGCGGTCCCTAATGACATCGAATTGAACTTCCATTCCAGGTACACCACGGTAGTCAGATGGGATCATGGCGACGTAGGTTACCGACTCTTTGACAAGACCTTGGGAGGCGATGAGATCGGCATACTCGTAGTAGCGGTCGTAGAGCGCAGCCAACTTGTACGTCCGCGCGCCGCTCTCGGCGACAGCGGCAGACTCGGTGGGCTGAGTGAGCTCGGTATCGACATACGAGGCAGCACCTCGGAAAACGGCGACCTTCTCGATGAAGGTCTGTAGGGCTGAAGCATGGGCATCGTATGTCGACAGCTTGGCACCTTCTTCCGACTGGGCAGCAGCGTCCTCTTCCTCCTTCATCTCTTCCGTCCAGATACCGACAACCTTCTCGAGCTTGCCGGCAGCGAGGTAACACAGGGTAGCATCCTTCCTGAGTGCTTTCTTGCCTTTCTCATCTTCCCCAAGGAGACGGCCTTGGAACTCGAGCCTTTGGCCGAGCTGTTCTGCGAGGCCGGAAAAATCGTCTGCCTTGGCAAAAGTGCACAAGACGACGAAGATCTCCTTCCACTCCCTCAGATCGGCATTTTGGACAATGTCGGCAAGGTCGTCGGACACGATGCTCTGGAAGAGGCGAAGGTAGGGGAGCTCAGTGACGCGTTTCTGGAAGTACGCCTTCTGGGTCGAGGCGAGCAGCTCAGGACCACCCTTGACTGCGAGCAAGATCGCGTCGGCAAACCGTTCGGCACCGAGACAGAGCTGGACGGCGCTGTCAAAGTCGCCCAATACAAGTGCCTTGGTGACGAGCTTGTCCACGTCGCTCTCCTCCGACGGGTAGATCTTGAACGTGTTCGCCGCCCTCGAGGGGGGGTCGTTCAAGTCAGCAATACTGGAGCTGCGGCTGCCAATAGTCGCTGCCTGGCTCGAGTCGTTGGCATAGTTCTGGTGCGGGTAGAGCACACGCTCTGGGAGGGCGCTGCGGATAGTGCCCATGCTGGAGAAGAAGTCGGCCGGGTCGGCAGGAGCAGGCGTGCCAGCTGCGCCAGGGGCGACAGCGCCGATATCTTCGCCAAAGAGGGAAGGCTCGGTCGTCTCCGTATCCGCTTCGGTCTGCGCGGCAGTGGCCTTGGTGCCAATACTCGTAGCACCGACGCTGGTCTCGCTGGGAGCCTCGGTTGTGTCCTCAGGGTCGGTATCTTGCGGTCCTTCGGATTCTTCGATCTGCTCGTGCTCAGGCTCGGCAAAGGTGACCGTGGGCTCGGACAAGGCTTCGGATGCCTCGCGATCAGTGGAGAGGGCGACGGAGGGCACGATCTTGAGCTTCTCCACGGCCTCCTTGACGCGTTCTTTGACCTCTTCTTTCGAGAATCCGAGGAGGGTGATCAACTCATCGCGGTTATCGACACGGAAGAGACTAGACAGAGCACGCCAGGTCTCCTTGAGGTCGCCGTCGGGTGCAGACTCGCCAGTGCGAGCCTCGACGAAGGATTGGAGGGCAGCAGGTCCTTCTGCTTCAGCCTGAATGAGCTTCTCAAGACGTTCCAGGATGGAAGACTCGGTGACGATCGTGCGAAGCTTGACGACACCCTTGCCGTGCCCGTGCTGTACTGCCTGGGTGGAGTTATGTACGCTCGCGAGCTTGCCACCGAACCCGAAGGAGCTAGATGTAGGACGACGAAGCCACTTGGGTGGCTGCTTCAAACTCAGCGCCGTCTTTGGCTGTTCCGTAGTGGAAGGGAGATCGAAGATGTCAGCCCCATCTGCCTGGACGGGGGCAGCGAGGGGGGCGGCAGCGGCTTCGTTCGTAGACTGTAGAGAGTGGAGACCGATAGTACCGTCGAAGGAGGCGGTGGCTAGAAAGTCGGGGTTGCGAGGGCACCAATCGACCTGGAAAGCCCAGTTGTGGGATGAGGGCAACTGACGGTGCTTTAGTCGATATACAGCAACGCCTATACTGGTTCACGTACCTCACCGATAATCTCCCCAACCTGAGGATTCCAGCACAAACTCCTGTTGTCCTTTCCGCAACTGAGGAGCAAATCCGCGTCCTGCTTGCACCACGAAACAGAGAGAACACCTTTTTCGTGACCGGTGAGGATCTTTTCGGGTGCGCGAGAGTTACGCAGGTCCCAGAGCATGATGATAGGCGAAGTGTCATCCTCGGACGAGGTGACGAGACGCGTGGGCTACAGCAGGCATTCAGTATCGCTGCTCGCGGCCGACGAAGCTAGAACTCACGTTTTCAGGATGCCAACAAACGTCGCTCATCCCTCTCCGCCTTCCTATCTCCATTCCGCCCGCAACCGCTCCGCCGCCAGTGGCTGCCCCACCACCATAGGCAAGCGCGACGACCTCTCGCTTCCCGCGAAGGTCCCAGACGACGGTGTATCCTGTAGAAGAGGAGGAAGCGAGAACATGGGCGACAGAGCTGTTCCATGCAAGAGAAGTGATAAGATCCAACTTTGTGCTGGGCGCCGCGGTGCCTAGCCAGTGTATGAGCTCAGCTCAAGATATCTACATACGGAATTCGACAGGAATACTCACCCGTAGGCGTGTAGGGCTTTGTCGGGTTCGTCAGATCCCAAATATAGATTTCGCCCGCCGAGGCCCCAGAGGCGAGGAGGTTCGTCTGCAGGCCGTTAAAGTCCAGGCCGCGAAGTGACGTCTGGTGTTTCTTATTGCTCAAGATAAGTGACTCGGCCGGGCTATACGCATCCGCAAGGCGAAAATAGAGATAGGTTAATGAACAACACGCGTCGTACGCGAGGCAGAAAAGACTGACTCGAGCCCTTGGACGATCTTTTCCGGGTCCCAGATACCCAGCTCGCCCGACTCCATCCCGGCTGCGATGAGACCTTTTGGGTGATCGATGCTCACATTTCCCCATGCGAGGCGGTTAAACCTGTGTGGAGCGATAAGATGAGCAAAGTCTGTTTTATGCGTGCGTCCGCATACACCTACCTCGAGGTAGTGACGACGCTCCCTGTGGGCTTATCGTGCTGCGCAGTATGTAAATCCGGCTCCCAGAGCTCGAGCCTCCCTTCATTCGAGAAATTCTCGTCTAGCGCACCCGCGACTGTGCCCGTCGCGAGCAGGGGCAGGACAGAAACGGGCGACCAGGCAAAGGTCGATGTGCGGGGGATCGTCTTTAACCGCATGATGTTCTGATCCAAGACGTTTCGTCGTCGTCGTCGTTATCTCCGCGTTGGGTGATGTCCCAGCAGGTGCGGATGGGCTAGTAGTCGTCAGTGGTGGTGGTGGTATACTCGTAGGCAGCGCGTAGAAGAGGGAAACGACTTTTGCGTGCAACCTTGGATGAATCCCTTCGTCGCTGCGACGGGCCAACGGTGCAATCATGACACGTTGGGATTGATCCCGGCACAGCTTTTGTGGTGGCACTGCTCCGTCAAATGTATGAGGGCATCCAGGTTTTGGGACTCTGGACTCTGGATATAGATGTCAGGGTCCTAAGCTTAGTAATTTAATCCCGCTCCGCGTCAAGCAGGCAGGGCAGGGTGCATTGCTCAGCAATTCAATAGCCGGTGTTGCCTAACACCAAATGCGTAAGTCCGATAGATACAATTAGTTAGTGCTCTATCTAGACATCATGTAATTATTAATTGATACTACTACACAAAAAACAAGAAAAACAAAGTACTTGGAGGACATCACCTCCAAGCCCGTCTATTGTATTTCTACACAGTCAATTCACCAATGACTATAGTTCATGGCCCTTCTCTTACTCTCCCTCTTCATCTGACTCCACCCACCAAGCCCACTTGTCCATCTCCACCTTGTCATCCTTCAGACATCCGTCATTCTTCCTCCAGGCATGCAGCCAGAACCTTGCCCATGTACTCCCTGGTCATTTGCTGAACCTTTTGATGAGCTTCTTCAGGCTGGCAGACTCCAACAACTTGGCATGTTCATACCAAGTTTTGTACTTTCCCTCAAATCCATACACCTCCTTGAAGGCTTGCCCCCAAAGAATGTGGCCTGGTGTAGCCTTGTCCATATAGCTATGGATGCAGGTGATGTCGCACATGACTTCATTAAAAGTCCATGACCTGGGCCACATATTGTCCAGCACCTCCAGGAGCAGAAGTTGGGCAGGGGAGGACAGCAGCTTGTGTTAGGGCAACACAGGCTGACTAAGTCTGCTCACCTAAGAGTGCCGAGAGTCTAAGCAGGCAACAAGGAAGTGGAGTAGACCTGATGATATTTATACCTCTGTGGTGGAACCTGCTAGAACATCTTGCTTACTTAGCCTAGTCAGGTGATCAGGTCATATGACCAAGGATGAGGTCATATGAGGTCATGCACAGCCATGCACAGCAGGTCACCTGACCATCCAATCCTTCCAGCAGGTTCCAGCACATGCCAAGGTATACCAGCTATTTCCATGT